AATCTGGATTGCCTGGTGCTTCCAAGGATAACAAAACGACTTCCGCAATTCAAACTGGACAGGATGCTCCTCAATATCTCAAGGGATCAACGACTTGCAGATCCGAATTTCGACAAACCAGGCACAATAGATCTTCTAATAGGTGCAGGTCTGTTTTGGAACCTATTATGCGTTGGACAGATCAAGATGTCGAGGGGAAGTCCAATCTGGCAAAAAACGCAGCTCGGCTGGATAATTGGAGGCGAGCTCATTGACGCTAAACCAAGGGTAACTTCCACATCACTCTTGATTGTCAACAAATCTTTAAACGAACAGGTTGAAAGATTCTGAACTCAGGAGGAGGTACCGGAGCTTCGACAACTAACCACACAAGAAAGATATTGCGAGGAACAATTCATATCGACACTTTCCAGAGATCCCACTGGAAGATTTGTAGTAAGCCTACCCAAAAATGAGGCAGTCACAATTGGTAGCTCAAGAGAAGTTGCCTTGCAACGATTTAAGGCTTTGGAGCGCAGATTTAAACGGCAACCTAACCTCAAGGAAGATTATGTGAGATTCATGGAAGAATACGAGAGACAAGGGCACATGGAGCCAGTGGATGGAGATACTCTAAGCGAAAACGGGTTGACATGCTTTCTTCCACACCATTCAGTTTTGAGGCCGGATCATCTCACAACAAAGGTGAGAGTGGTGTTCGACGCATCAGCCAAGACGAGCAGCGGTCGGTCGTTAAATGATATGCTCTTGGCAGGACCGAATTTACAAAATGACTTGATGCACATATTGCTAAGATTTCGATTGCATAAATATGTAATAACTGCGGACATAGCCATGATGTTTCGGCAGATTTTGGCGAACGAGGAGGATAGAAGACTACAGCTGATAATTTGGAGAAAATCTGAAGATCTTCCCATAGGTACATATGCTCTGAAGACAGTTACATACGGCACGAACTGCGCACCATATTTAGCAATGCGCTGCCTCAGACAGTTGGCATCGGAAAACAAGGATCAGCATCCACAAACTGCACGCGTTTTGGATG